TTGGGGGGGCGCTGCGCCAGAAGGGGGGCTCCAGAAATTAGTGGGCACATCGGGGGACACCAGAAGGTATCCTCACCTAGTGGGGGGAAAAACCTGGGGCCAGCACTGTGTGGCCATTATTGGCTCACATCTCTATGAATTTATTTTTAACCAGGTGCAGGGAAACTGCGTTTCCCCAATCAGGATTGTCGGGGGCTTTGGGAGTTGCATCCTCTGGCAGGGACTCCCAAAGAGCCAACCTGAGGAGTGTCTCGGAATGAATTGAGGCAATTAGGGTTTGTTGGAGTCCTAACTGATTTTTAAGGGAATTAATTTCTTTTTTTAATAATATTTTATTGATTTTATAAACTATATCCTACATTCTAAAGGTACAGGGGAAAAACCTATCATTAACTCATGACAAGAATATTTCTAAGCTGACAAATGCATACATCACTCCTGCAATAATATTGATATTATGATAAACAGAATTATAAAATCAGAGAGATCAAACTTCTATTGATTAAAGCTTAATTACGCTTAAATCAAGTAATATTGTAATCCAGAGAGAAAAAACACGTTTATCTCTTGGGCTTCTTCTTCTTCACTTTTGAAGTTTTGGGAACTGCTTCTCCTTTCTCAGACTCTGACATTGAACTGCTGGAACCGATCCTTCCTCACTGGGTTCCTCTCCTTCTTCCAGATTAGGGTCCTCATCTTTATCTATGCCCAGTTGTTTTTTCAAAAAGTTTTTGGCCTTTTGGACAGAGTCAATTTTAACGATTCCTTCTGGGAAGCTCCATCTGTAGGTTATTGCTTTGTCTTGTAGGAAAAGAATTAAGTCTTTATACTGTCATCTTCGTTTCCGGATCTCAAATTGAATGTCTTTCAGAATTTTAATTTCTTCTTCATTAATTTTAAGTGTATTCCCCATAGTAGCTTTTAAAACATTGTCTCTCATTGTTCTCTTTGAGAATTTAATGTAAATTTCACCAGGAAGTTTATTTTTTCTTATAAAATCAGGGTAAGTACGGTATGCCAAGTCCATGTCACTTTGTAGATTTTCCTGTTTAAGGTCTGAAATTGAAGCTAGCGCTCCACTTATCATTGTTTTTATGTCTTCTCCCTTCTGTTCAGAAACTCCTTGGAAGCATAGAACATGCATAGATTTATCAAGCTGAAGTTGAAGTAGTTGATTTTTATCCGTATTTCTTTCCTTCTTAACTTCTTTTAGTTGTTGCTTAATATCAATAGTCCTTGTTTCGTCTTTCTTGATCCTTTTATCTGTCTTATTGGCTCTTTTTTTCCATTTGGGTAAGTTGCTTTTGGACGGAATCCAGCTTGGTATTAATTGTAGACATCTGGTCCAGCAGAGGGCACAGTGCTGTGGTGAGCATATTGGGAAAGTCTGCAGTTGCTTCCTGTGGTTGACTGGGAGTCGTTGGTGTAGTACTTCCTGGTGGAAGTTTCTTTTCCACTGCCATTCTCCTCGCCCTCCCAGCCGTTTGTTTACAGTGAAGAAAAGTTTTAAAGTTTCTCTGAATTCCACGTTCTTAAGCTTAAAATATAGCTTTCAAACTTAAATGAAGTCTCGAGCAGTTAGTTTCGTTCCTTCTTTCCTTTTTGTACCGCTTAGAGACCACTCCATTTTGTAGGGGGTGTGTGGATCTCCAACCCTTTCCCACATGCCGCTCTTTGTCCAGTCAATCTAGCAAGCCGAGACTTCTTCACTTATACAGAGGTTTGATTAACTCACTGTTTAGATAAGTTTGATTATTGCCGGGTTTATTTTCGCATATTTTCTTGTCCGCTCATCTGGAGGTCAGCTCTCTTCACCATACTGGCTCCACGGCATCAGGACCTCTCAGGGACAGGCAAGCCACGATCTCTCAGCTCTGTATAGCAGAGAAACCATTTTCATACCTGTGTGTGAGAAAAAATACTATACTGAAGAACTGAAAAAAACCAGTGTTAATACCAGTGTCTAATACAGTTAAATTTTAGCTGTATAAATAGTGAAATTAGGTGTCAGTATCTTCTGATGCTATTAGGGAATGGCTTACATTGACACGTGCATTTTAGTGACAGTTCAAAAGTACACATGCACACGAAAGCTCAGACCTTGAATAAACCTTTGTTGGTCTTAAAGGTGTCACTGGACTCTAAATTTGTTCAAATAAAGTGTGTATATACTCTGCATGCAATGCTTCTAAATAAGAATGTACAATCTTCCAGTGAGGGTCCCCCCCCCCAGTAATTATTTTCTCCTTCCTTGAAATACAAGACACTTTGTTAAATAAATGTAGGTCTTGCAAACTTTTCCTTTACACTTGCCAATGATAGATGATTTAATTCTTTCCAGGAGCACAGTTGGTTTAGTGTAAATTTCTTGCATCTGGAGCATAAGGAACAAATGGGTATAATACTACCCATTTCTTCATTCATCTTGTTGCTCAATATTAATAGAACTTCAACTCCAAGACTCCCTTCACTAATTATCTGATTTCTAATTTTTAACATACTCTTTGTACTGTGGTTTTGATAGATACTAATATATACTTTATCTATATTCCTTTTCAAGTAGTTTGAATGCCCCTCCCCATTTCTGCTATTAATTTTTCAGAACAGAAAAACTGAGACACTGTTTTGGTCTTTACTCATTTTGTTTGTGTTGGGTTCGTAGGCTTCCTTCATAAATTATATAAAACCAGTTCAATACTTGTAAATGCAGTAGAGTTGCCAGGCTGAGCAACAAGAAGGAGGGCTGGGGTGGGGGCATGATAGGGTAATGGATGTGATGATGACACTTTGAAGAGAAGAAGAAGAGATTGGATTTATACCCCTCCCTTCACTACCTGAAGAATCTCAGAGCAGCTCACAATCCCTTCCCCTCTCCACAACAGACACCCTGTGAAATAGGTGGGGCTGAGAGAGCTCTCTCGAGAACTGTCCTTGAGAGAACAGCTCTGAAAGAACTTATGACTGACCCAAGGTCACACCAGCAGCTGCATGCGGAGGAGTGGGGAATCAAACCTGGTTCTCCCAGATTAGAGTCTGCGCTCTTAACCACTACACCAGACTTTGAGGGAAAACATGGAAGTGGCAGCAGTAACTCTAGTAATTGCTGGATACTCTATGACAAAGCCATAGAACATAAGAACATAAAAGAACTAAAGGACTAAAGGACTGTAGTAAAGCAGGTCTGAAATGATCACAAGAAATCTGGGTAAAAGTGGAAAGTATATGTATCATGATGCTTTCAGGAAGCAAGGAAAAAACCCACTTCACATCTGCCACAAAGCTGGACCAAATCTGGTATGGAAGAGTCCAGGTTTATTGTAAGATTCTGTAGGCCAGAGCAATATGCATCTGACAAAGTGGGTTGTCCTACTGTGAAGTTCTTATGCATTGGATGCTCTTCCTCCTCACTCTTCAAAGATTAAAAAGCCAGGCACGGCATGGGAGATTGATATACTTGGTTTAATCTAATTTCCAGAGGATTTATACCCCTCCCTTCTCATAACTGGTTTTGGATGACAGGTCATTAGTTACTTCTGAAATGGCCTTATGAGCTAAGTTAGGCTAACTCTTCTATTCACAGTGTGAGGCTGGGGAAAATGCATAAATCATGCTATCAGAAGAAAAAAACATGGCTTTGAACTCAGAACTGGGTACCTGATAAAAATAAACATAGATCCACATTCATTTAATAATATCATTGCCATATAAAGGCCCCGGTCACACGGAGCATTAGGCATGCTGGAGAGACGGAAGATAGGCGGATTTTCCGGGCACGATCTCACTGCCACATCTTGGAAGCATAGAGCTCCCGTGGCTCACCCGAGGCTTCACTCTGAAGATGCGCTGTAAACAACTAGTACCTCCGAGGTACTAGTTTCTGGAAACCGCGGGGCAAGGGCGGGCGTCAGATCACATTTCCTGTGTTAGCTCGTGGCATCTGGCGCCCGCCCATGTCCCGTCGTGAAAAGTCGTGAAAAGTGGGTTTTTTTGGTCACGTCTCCATGGGTGCGCACAAGACCCAACGGTGCATGTGAACACTTGGGTTAAAAAAAACAACACAACATCCGTGGCGCCACTTCTTTGCCACGCCGCAGAAGTGAGGTATGATCGGCACCTCCCCCCAACCACGGGATGTCAGCGGGACGTTGGGCGGGATGTTTGATCCGGCTGCCACATGGTAGTTCGCTCCAGGGCAAACAGCCACGCCTCCCCCCCCCCGATATCCAGCCCGTGTGACCGGGGCCAAAGTTTGTTTTCCTTAAAATAAATCACAGTAGCTACTATTTACCTAGAAATGAACAATTAACATCCAAACTTATATACTTTGGATCTACTTTTTTTGTAAATATTGTCTTGGATCCAGTGATGTGGGAGCAGAAACCAAAACAGACATAGCACAGTTCCACTTGTGCACGATCTTGTGTAACACCTAACACTTTCCTCCCTATATATTATAGTGCTCAGAAATTTGTTGCACAAGATCTTGCACAAGAAGAAACACAAATGGGAATATAAGAAGGTTGACTTCACATAAGCAGCTACCGTGGTCTTTGTGGAAGCAGAAATTTGGTGTTGGATCCAACGCATTCTTTAATTTAAGAAAATGGTAAAGATGTACATACAACGATAATGAAATGTATAACAGTCACTGTTAATGAAATACCACTTTCAACATTACTTGAGTTTCCTAATTGTATGTTTATAGATTATTAGCCTGAGACGCCTAAAATGAAGGCATTGCAGTCATTAAAGACCATTGATGAAGAAAGGGAAAAAAAGATTGCTAGTATTTATTTTCACAATGAAACACAGCAATGTTTGGTATAGCAATGTCTATTTATTTTTATTTTTCAGTAAAGGAAGGACAAAGCAAAACAAACATCTATAAATTCTACTTATCATGTATTTTGAATGCATTATTCCTGAATATACAAGTCAAACTCTATAGAGAATACAGTGACAGCAAAACTTTGATTCAACTGGTTCTAAGGGAACTGATAATCAGAAAATACATTTGTCTGGCAAAAGTATTGTTTTAATAGAATAACATTTATAGGACAATAAAATGGAGCATATCAGCTGCAACTGGTAAACCTTTTTGAAAATGAACAGGAAGTGGTACAACTATAAAGGGGGGAGTAGGGTTGCCAGACTTCTGGTCGGGGCGGGGTTTCCCCTGATTTCAGGAGCTGCAATCCACCACTGGCCCCACCCCTGATGGTGTCATCAGTGTAATGATGTCATCTGGAAGTGACATCATCACACCAGGCATGGTGTGCGTCTACACTCTAACATTTTGGCCAAAACACTATGGCTATGGACACAGGAGCCCCCCGCTGGAAGACTGGTAAGATCTGGCAACCCTAGGGAGGAGATTTTCAAGGAAATAATAATGTGGAAATGAGTATCAGATGAAAATCCCAAACAACATAGGGAAGGTGTAACAAGTTTCATGCCAGCAAAACTTGTTCTTTAAATTTGTGACAAAATAACTGTGACACCACTATCTTTAAATAACAATGGCCTGAAGGAGGCGGAAGCATAGCATGAGGTCAAATGGAATTGGAGGTTTAATTTCATTGCCATCCAAGCGGAGATAGCGGAGGCGTGGCAGATCCATATCATAGACATGATCTCCAGGAACAGGAATCGGGCAGATTTGAGTACCATTAATACCTAAAAAAAGAAAACAAAACAAAAGGAAGACATGAGAATTCAAGGCACAGGATCATTGTACTAAGTTGACTCAAAAAAATTAGCAAGTGGTTAAGGACCACTGAGCAGCATTTGGACACATTTCTGAGTTCAAGTCTCTTAGGCTGCTTTGGTGCCTAGTGCCTTTTAACAACCAATTAGAGGGCAGAATTAAACCAATGCAGTACTGAGAAAGTGTAACATTTGTATTGTTCCCCAGGGTCTCTTTTCTTATTGGTCCATCTTTTCTGCAACTCCTTCACTGCATCCATATTGGGGGGCGGTCATGCCCCACTATGATAGTAGCAGCAAGTGGCACAGGACTGCCCAGAATTGCCACCCACCCATTCTGTTCCTGATCTTTGATGCTACCACTGCTCTTCCTCCTCCCAGTTTCCCCACTGCACAGATGCAGAACTGTAGGCATGCTGGCAGTTTTGCCAAGACCCACCATGATGTGGAACCCCTGCATTCCTCTCACTTTCCCTACCAAGCTGCTCTGTAACAGCTTAGCTGTGTTCCTGCAGCTCTTCATCAGGGAAAGGGGAAAATCTGTTTAAGGGCAGAAGTGGCAAACAGGGGTTTCCTGCTTTCCATGCCGAGAAAAATCCCCACTCTGGAAGCAGCCCTTATCTTCTATACTTTTCTTCCAGTCTGTGACTCCCTCTCCGGTCCTTCCTTGTCTTCCCATTTCTCATTTCAAGCAAGAAACTTCTTACTCTTCAGGTTTCATGTCCCATGTTCCCTGTACTTCCAGTTCCTTAGGTTCCTTGGCATTTTCATACTCAACATCTTTGCTGTGGGTAGCTTTTTTTTTTTTTTTGCCCCTAGAATTTGATGGCCAGCTTTAAAAAATCCTGCAAGCCTGTCTCATGTAGGAAGTTCTGACTCTACATGGTTGTCTCAGAGGAAATGACAGTTTTACATGTTCTGCTTTGTTTCCCATCGATTACTGTTTCGATTTTACATATGACTGACAAATGTGCACAGCAGCAAGAGTGACTGCTCATCAGACAGTGTGTGTGTGCTTGGGGGTAGCAGTGGGTGACACTGAAATCACTGCCCTGCCCCCACTCAGGCCTTCATCAGGGCCTCCCCTTCCATTGTAAGATGTTGTCTTACCTCCATGTTTAGCACCAGCATCAATGATGGTAGAGGAGGAGGAATGGTAAGAACTGAAGATTGCATGAAGGAAATATGTCGTGCTGGTCTGCCCACTCTGCTCTCTTTAGTCAGCTACTTAGGATTGCCAGTAGGGTTGCAAGGCCCCTTGGGGGGTGGGGGTTTGCCTGCTCAGGGGGCCCCTTGCCCGCCAGCCTGGATCCAGCTGCCAGGGGAACCCCACCCCCAAAGTGCTGGGATCGTGGCGATGTGCCCAGTGTGTTGATGTCACCCGAAGGTGACATCATTGCACCAGGCATGTTGCAGGGGGATGTGGTATCATTTGAGGGGAAAACATTGTTTTCCCTCTAGTGGCCCCGCCCCTGATGTGCCCGACACGATGTCGTCACTTCTGGGTGACGTCACTGCGGCATGCGCACTTAATGCGCACACCGAGGATGTCCCAGAGAGGGCCCAGGACTCCCCCGCTGCAACAATGGTAAGTCCTGGCAACCCTAGTTGCCAGCCTCCAGGTGGGGCCTGGAAATCTCCCAGAATTTGAACTGTCCCCCAGGTGACAGAGATCAGTTTCCCTGAAGGAAACAGCTGCTTTGGAGAGTGGACTGTATGGCATTATATCCCACTGAAGTCCTGCCCCTCCTCAAACCCCTCCTTCACCAGGCTCCACCCCCCAAAGTCTCCAGGTATTTCCCAACCCAGAGTTGACAATTCTACAGCTACCTGAGAAACATTGCCACCGGGTCTGCTGACCTTCCTAATTAGCCTTTCCAACCACTAGTGCAAGCCTACTCAAGTAAAGTTGAGTGAGACTGGACTTGGAACAGTAGACGACTATAGCAGTTGTCCATGTTTATGTGTGCATGCATGTGCACACAACAGTCAGAGAGACAGAGGTTCTTTTTTTGAAAGGATCTGATTCTCTGTGACTATATGAAAGCCCTAGTTGAGAATAGTTCTCTGCATGTTTGAAGGATGTGTGGGTTTGTGTGCAATGGATAAATATTTTAATTAATTGAAATGAAGCATATTAAAATAATTTGTAATCCTGACTACCCTGGCACATTTTCTTGAGTGATTTGCTCCGTGTTTGTTTTGAGTTCTGGGTTACATATTTACTTGATTCATAGCATATGACTTGGCTGATTTTAGATTTTCTGCTTTGCAGCTCTCTGCCATGGAATCACTGAATGCCCTTGAGACCAGGAATTCTCTACCTCAGTGTTTCCTGTCTGTGAAATGCCTTCAAAATGCACAATTCCTTAACAATATGCTACATAAAACTGTTTGGTTGAAGCCATCATGTTAAAGCTAAGAAGCACTGGATATGGCCAGTACCTGCATGGGAAATCTGGGAAACCTATATTTGCTGTCTTGAATTTCATGGTGGATAGGGGCAGGATATGAATTGTAATACATTAATATATAGTGGCTGAATATATAATTTGCAGCTGCTCTTGTTATATGCTTGTGATAAACTGGATTATGGTGTTGATCTGTTGGCCTGTTTTAAAGCATTTCTTGCTTGGTAGCATGAGGACTTTTAAGCATGAAAAATACTTATGCACCTCAAATGAACAACATATGTTTGCTCTGGGAACACATGCTGAACCCTAAGGCTTTGCCAAAGACCTTACTAGGTCTATAGCCTAATCCTCATAAGCACTGCCCATTAAATTACCACCTTGCATCCCTTGAACCCTTTGGTATCTGCTCCAGGGTTGCTTGGTCTCCCATTATGGTGGTAGAAGCCCTGCTATCATTTTTTCACATTAAAAACATTTCTGGTATCAGATGTGGCGTGACATTACTTCCAGAGAAAACTCAATTTTACCATAGAGTTTCTGGTTATTCCTACAGCAGCACTCTACCAATGTGCTCCACCAGTGCCCTCCATGTCTCTGCCCTCCTATCTCTCAGTGGTTGTCAGCCATTGACCTTAGCATACCTTAAGGACTGCCTTCTCCCATAATAACCTCCCTATTCACTTTGGAGGCCCTGCTTAGGGTACCCCTGCCAGCTATGACTAAACAGGTGGCAACTCTCCGGAGGGAGATTTGTTTGTCTCCCTCTATTGTTATCTTCTGCCAGTGGCTGAAGACTTTGTCGTTCTGCTTGCCATGCTTCCAGTAACTGTTATCCGCCTCCTTCCTAGTTTTTGGTGTTATGTATGTTTATATGTTTTTATTGAATTATTGTATATGTACTTTATTTAAAATATTTTTAATGCTGAAGTCTTTTAATGTGTAGCCTTGGGGACTGTATTTGGGTGGAAAAGCAGCACAGAATATTTTGAATAAATAAAACTCTAGCCCTAAGGTATGTCCAAGTAACATTTCCGGTTTAATAGCAGTATTCATCCCCTTTCATCAGTCTCTGCCACTAAATTCACACCCCAGTGTTTCCAGTCATTGAGATGAACACTCATCATTCTATCTGCATTGCCATCCAAGTAGAAACAGACACTTTGATTCTATGTTATTTCTACCTGTGCTTCCTTTATCCATTGCAGAAGCAGTCCTCTGTAGCAGAACATTTATTCCTTGGAAGCTAGGCACTCCCATGCAAGAGCAATGTCAGTCAATTAGCTGCAAAGTAACTAACACAAGAGAAATGGGCTCCAGAGCAGAGGACTGCCTCAACAATGAATAATGTAAATACATGCAGAAACAATGTACAGGATCCAAGCCAGTCTCCTCACTCTCAAGGTTATGATGTTCTATAGTCTGGACACAGGCTTTTTCTGTTGCTGCTCTGCTGCCATGGGACAGCCTCCTGGAAGTGAGGAAGCAGGCACCCAGCCGTGGGACCTTCTGGTGACTGTCAGAGAAAGTTCAATAAAAGAACTTATGGGTCATCATGAAGGCTACTGGTGTGTGCGCTGGCTTATCTATCTTAATTGACTGTTTTAATGATGTACTGTAATGATTCTAATAGATAAGTGTTGTATTTATTGTTGTTACCTGCCTTGGGCATAGGGTTGGCAGCCTCCAGTTGATTTCAAAAGTCAAGACTGCAGAGACCAGTTCCCCTGGATTTGGGGGCTATTCTGGGAAGGGACGAGGGTGTCCCAGCACAATGACATCATGTAGAGTGATGTCATCATGTCGGGGACACAGCACCTCACACATTCCCCCCACTTTCCCCCAACAGTTTAAAGGAACCTTCTCTTTAAATGGTTGGGGAAAGAGCGAGGACCATGTGTGCCTGCCCTACAAGCCACAAATTCGCAGCTTGCAGGGGCAGGAGCAGGCAGCCTCTGCTTGGAAATAGTGGGTGCCATGTGTGCCTCCCCTGCAAGCCACAAATTTGCAGCTTACGGGGTAGGCGTGCGTGGGGCTGCAGACAACTGGCTAGCATCTGGGGGGAGCCCCTCAAATTGGGGGATCCTGCCGCCCCCACCTGAGGACTGGCATCCCTACTGCTGAGCTTCTTCCAAACTTCACCCTTTCCAGGCTTTGCCCCAAATCTCCAGGAATTTGCAAACCCAGAGTTGTCAACCATACTTGGGCGAGGTATATAAATATGATATATAAATAGAGCAATCAATGAATGTTCTGGCTCTAAAGCCTGCTTTCCATTAACAGGATTCAGTAGTACAAGAAGACAGGTTCTTTTCTGTTGAGATCCCTTCAACCAGTGGTTCTGTCCCAAGTATCATGTTGACAGGCTTTTCATTAGTATACATAGTGGAGCTGTCGTATTTTTTAGGCCAAAGGCATCTATATTTTTTAATGCATTAGGTTCTGATTAACTAAAAGCTGGCCCAGTTTGTCAGTTCTCCTGATATCAACATGCTTATATGCTTGTGAGGTATTTTTAAAAGCTGCCCTTTTCTTCCTTGTATGCCACCAAATAGTGGTAAACAGAAACCAATAGATGAAGTTATTTCATTGAAAAAGGTTCTCACTGTTCTTAGGCTAAGACTTACTGTTGATTCTGTTGTTATCAAGATGAAGATGCTCAAGGTGAATACCAATAGCTGGAACCTTAGTGAGTTCATTGTTAGATAGCTGTAGGTCAAGAAGAGATGAAATATTAAAGACTTTAGCTGGTAGACCTTCATCAGTTAATTTATTGTTATTCAGGCGAAGGAAAAGCAGTTTGAGCATTGCATTAAAGTAGTTCTCCGGTATTGCTTCAATAGAGTTATTATCCAAAAACAGCTGCATTACATTGGGTGGTACGATTGGTGGCATTCTAGTGAGTGAGTTTTGAGCAATGTTGAGTTGGATGAGGTTGCTTAATCCTTGAAAGGTGGCATCTGAAAGAGTACTGTCCAAAAGTTTGTTGTGATGCAGATCTAGCATAGTGAGGTTTTCCAGATTGCTGAAGACTTCTCCTGGGATTGTGGTGATTTTGTTCCGTGCCAAACGTAGCTGCTCCAAACTTGCTGGCAGGGGAGCAGGCACCTCTTCTAACTCATTATCTTCAAGAAACAAGTAAAGGAGATTCTTCAACCTGGCAAATACACCCTTTTCAATTCCATTGCTAGTCAGCTTGTTGTTGCTCAAATTTATCCATTTTAGTTGAGTGGCATTTGCAAAGGATTCCCCTCTAATTGTTTCGATTAGGTTGTTTTGGAGATAAAGATACCAAATTCTTGCTGGGATGATGGGTATTTCTTTAAGTTCCCTACTATCACAGTATAACGCACTTGGGAAGCCAGGTGGACAGAAACATTGTTGTGGACACTCAAAGCTGTAGAATGACCAATCATATGAGGAGGTTTGATCATATATTGGTCTGATATTTCGAGTCCACACAATATTGGCCAGGAGGACTACCAAAATGCAGGAACAGAGTTTTACATTCATAGTTTGCCTGAAAAAGAGGGGAAAAGTGAATACTTTCTCCAGCATTTGTTTCTGAAAGCCATAAGGATTTCAATGAAACATCAATGAAATCTGAGAAAAGCTATTTTTATAATGGATTTAATACTGCCTGACAGTATTTAAAAACAATGGGAACTCCCCCCAAAATATAGCTCTCATCATGAGTATGTCATATACTGTTTATTAGATAAGCCAAGTCTACTTTCAGTCCAAGGAAGCTAGAAATATAATCACTGCTTTCTGTCACTTTTAAACTGGCCTTTGACCTTGCGATGCAAAATATTCCATATGCAATTAGAATAGGATTGATATGATTTCATTTACTGACAGCTGTCCAGCTGTTTTGGTTCTCCTTTTAAAAAGCTCACATGTTCTTTTGTACTTCTAAATGAGAAGGGCATCTGGATCAGATTTCCTAGGCCCAGTTCTCATTGCACACAAAGGAAGGATCAAAGAATATTTTAACAGCTGTTTGCCGGTCATGTTCCTAGAATTCTGGGGAAATTAGTTTGAATTATCTATGTACTTTTTCAATTACCCCCTGTGCCCCAAATGGTTTGCTCTCTTAAAAAAAATTTGTAAGTTGCTTATAAAGCAAATTCTGTCCAGACATAAACTTTACAGCTTGACACATACTCAGGTTTCTTTGTCCAAAACCATTCTTGATTCTCATGCTAAAATTTTCCATTGGGTATATAATTCTTTTAAAAACTTAATATGCAAGCCAAATTCTTACAGAGAATGGATGTACATTACAATAAAAATATATATCCCATTTTCTGATGCCTGCCTTAATTAATAAAATAATGAGTTGTTCCCTTCTTTCTTTTAAAGAAAAATTTCAACCAGCAGCACAAATTGAAGAAAAAAGTTAATTATTACCCCTTAAAAGCATTAACACTGAAAGAGAATCACAGAGACAGATCACTAATACAAAGGGAAACCCAATATCTTGTATTGTTAACAAAATAGTATTTTAGTAGTTATAGTAGATATTAGTATAACTATTGCTGTATTATAGTAGCGATCACTGTAAAACATCCTGTGCCAAAATCTTGAAGTCTTAGAAGTCATTAACACTCCACAAAATTGCTGCAGAATGCTTGAAATAATGAGAAAAGAAAGAAAAGAACACAAAAACTAAGTGTTGAGGGAAAGGTTATCTTTAATTTAAACATTGAAGATAACTTGAAATATTTTGCTATTATGTATCTATATTTTCAAAATTGTTATAATGAGTAAGTAAAATGAGTTTACCTTGTTCAGGTTAAGTGCTGATTTCTGGAGGCTGTTAGAAATAGTTTGAGTATAAAATATCTCCTTTCAACATTTTTTTGTAGTTTGAATTCCTGGAAATTAGCAGCATAAAACCTAAAATATATAGTAGTAGCCCCGAGACACACTACCAAAGAAACCTAATATTCCATTGTTTCTAATTTGACAATGCTACAGAATCAAGCTTACCTCATCTTTCTTGGATTCTCTTCTGTTCTTTCTATTGGCCACTGTTGTTAGACTGTAAGAGGTTGAGTCAGGCAACACGCCTGAATACAGCCTAATATATACGCATCAATGACTACAATTTTAACCCTTAAAATAGCTAACGTACTTCAGCACCTATACACTAAAATGTAGGAAATCCTGGATTTCACATCAAGCAGCTACAGTCCTTAAGGTCATTCCCAGAGATGCTGAGCTCAGACTGTAGAAGACTGGATAGACTGAACTAGGGAAATCAGGTGATATTAATGCATCTATAATCAAAGGTCAATTAATTATGTTTCTACTATCTAAATTAAAAAAGACCAAATTAAAACTAGTGCCATCTGTTCCTGCGGAAACCTTTTATTTGACTCTGATAAAAAACAGATGTAGGAATGCTTTCAGAGATATGCTTCTTGATTAGGGAATGCAAGGCAGACTGCTTCCAGTTTTTTCTCTCTGCTAAAGTAGTTTTATCTGGTTGTTCTACTCATGGTCCTAGAACTGATTTTTGCTACCTGCTCAAAACTGTATTTATACAAGTATAGTGCAAACCTTCCTCTTCATTCCTGATCAGCGTTCAATTGTTTTCTGCCTAGTTTTACAACCCAGAGTAATATGCATGTGTGCTCCACATGTGACTATCCCCCTTGCAAAAAAATAAATAAAAATAAATCAAACTCAAAAGAACTACTGTTAAGCATTGCCAGACTGGCAACACTGAGAGTATTTTTGCCTTTAAAATCAGTTGATTGTTTTTGTTAACAATATTTCAATCACCATATTAAAAGGAAATGTGTTTGTTTATGAGATTTTGTATCTTGCCTTTTCCCTATAAACGCCCCCTCAAAGTCACTTAGAACAATACAATAACAATCAGTAGTTTAAAAGATTAAACATACCAAATGCATTAATACACCCCACACAAATGCAACAAAACAAAATAAGAACATAAGAACATAAGAGATGCCAATGTTGGATCAGGCCAAAGGCCCATCCAGTCCAACACTCTGTATCACACAGAAATACCAGTGCCATCAGGAGGTCCACCAGTGGGGCCAGGACATTAGAAGCCCTCCCACTGTTGACCCCCCCCCAAGCACCAAGATGACAGAGCAGCATAATAGCTAGGTTGCCAGTTTACAGTGGCAGTACAGAGAATCTTTTTAATGTTTTAATGTTAAATTAGGGATTCTTGACACCCACCAGTTCAGCTCACATCACATCCGGTTTGCTAGCTGTGAACAGAGATCTGATTTTTTTTTTATGTTTGCTTTGATAATTCATTGATCTGTTTGTGGGTGTTCAGTAGGTTGTTTCACTGTACTCCTTACTAGCCATGAAGTACAGGTCAATTGGCTTTTTGTGCATGGACATTCTCACACAGCCTGAGTTCTGCATAACATTCTCACACAGTCCCATCCTTTCTGCATAACTGCTCCATTCAGCAGGTGATTGCTTAAACAATTAGATCACTCACAAAACATTTAAATCAGTCTTCAATAAATACTGTGTTTCAATAAAATCCCATCCTTCAGTGTTCAATTAAGTATCCCTTAGTGACACTAATAGCCACCAGTCGGTTTGAATAAGCAGTGTCTTTGTGCATCAGGGAAACCAGATGTACATCAGTTGAGCAGGAATTCATGGTTTCATGGACTGAACTGAAAGGACCAAATGATTGGGTCACATCTGATTGCCACCTTTAAATACTAAGCTCAACAGCTGAAGTTTTCACAGTGAAATTCCCAGCATCTCTACTTTAATTTAGTGTACCTGTCTGCCAAGATATGGTAATACTTAGTAAGTGGGCCTGCGACCTTACTGAGGGGTTTCAGAAAGCAGCAGCATAAACAGGTAGAGGTAGAATCAGTCTTGTGCTGGCACAGTGCACAGGGACTAAATTGCTGGCTGTATCCTCAGTGAGCACAGTACACTAATGTCAGTAGGTCAAATGGAGTGATGCTAAACAGTCATCAATACATACTTTATAATGCATATCTAAGTATCCTTACTTGACAGTAAATCCTGTGTCAGTATGATTTACCTGCAGGTCAACATGGTTAAGATCAGGTTATTCCTGTTGAAATCAATAGAACATATATGTATACTTATGTATATGTATAGTTAAATTGACAAGTTTCTATGGGGCTATAATATGCCTAACTTTCTCTGTGTTTTATCCTTTTGTTACTAATCGTTACATTCCTACCATATTATCCATATTATCCAAACCTAGTGTCGTCATAATCTGGAGTTCTGCATATCAAGGTAGGCATGTGTAATTGTGCTAAGGAATATTCACATAGTCTCGTAATTCTACGTAGGAATACTTTGCTTGGACTGCATACTGCATACTGACACAATATTCAAAAGCATAATTTTCCAATGTCATTGATATAGAATCACAGTGTCAAAATTCACGTCTAAAGAGACATACTCTCTAATGTAGTCTACTGCTCAAGGCACTTATTGTAGGCAAAAATATGTCCATATATATCTAGTGTGGCCAATATAATATTTCTGATGCTTTTCAAATGTCTTCTCCCATATATTCCTGCCCAGCAGCTAATATCTTTGGGACATTCCTTTCACATCTGAATTGAGTAGCAACTAGAAGGAGGGCCTTCTCAGTGGTTTTTCCTTGTTTATGGATTTGGTACCTTGTTTATGGATTTGGTGCCTAATTTGTCTAGTTTTAGGTGCTAGGTGAACTCTTTCCTTTCCATAGGCTCCTGGTTGATTCTTTTTTCTTATTTTTATCTGTGTTGGATGATTTATCTGCTTCTCTTGGATGCTGGGTTTTATTGTTGGCTTGACCTTAATAGTGTGCTGTTTTTGATTTTATGAATTTTTTAAAATGTTATGTTCTTGTTTTTAGTGATTTTTATTATTTTTATTTTGTATCTCATAGTAAAATAAGTGGCTTGTGTTCATTACATAAAGAGCAAAACCAGATCACCTTCAGACAAGTTTGAGGTTACTTCTTAGAAGTTGCTAGGGAAGATTCCCAAGTATGCAGAAAAGCAACTAGAAATGTGGGGGGGAGGGCTCAAAATGGTTTGAATCAAACAAATCACGCTCAGGAGGCATGGAATGTTGGGAGCAGTTGTGAATAAGTTATAGTTGGAGGGGGTCAGTTGCCTGATGCTCCCTCTCATAGGCCAAGTAACTATCAGAAAAGTTGGGGTTGGGGCTATAGGGTGTGTGTAGGGTTGCCAGGTAGTAGCTGGAGATCTCCTGCTTCTTCAACTGATCTCCAGGACACAGAGATCAGTTCACCTGGAGAAAATTATATTGGCTACTTTTGGAAGATAGACTGTATGGCATTATACCCCATTAAAACCCCTCCCCAAACCCTACCCTCCTCAGTCTCCACCCACAAAATCTCCAGGTATTTCCCAACCTGGAACTGGCAACCCTAGGGGTGTGTGAGGTTGCCAGCACAGAGAATGCCAGCAGTTTTAATTTTTCTCCTGATGCTGCTTGGAGCAGCAATGGCCAACAGCAGCAATCAGCAGGAGACCTGGTAACCCTATTTAGGAGACCCTGAATGTTGATGGCAGCTGAGGGCCAAATTACACATATGTATTTATAAACAAAAATGGAGAGCACACGGTGAAGGAAAAATGGGTAAATACTCTCCCAGCAGTGCTGTTTCAGTGCAGGAAAATGGCTTGAAGAGAGAGGGATGAGCCCCGCCTCTTGCTGCATTGGCATTCCAAACCACTGATGGCTCCCCTTCATTTTAACCATTCCCCACAGCTGCTGTGTGACTGCGGGGAACCTGAGTTTGGTCCAGGTTCCGTTAAAAACCCTCTTAAAAAACCCAAACTTGTAGTTTGGCCCTACATAATGAAAACACATCTTAAGAAACTATTAATACTAAACAAATACATCATTTAACACCTGTAAACCAAGTTAAATACAATAAAATGCACATACATAAAAATTAAATAAATAAATATTGTTCTGGAAAACATGTCAAAGAGTAATTTGAATATAACATCTGTTGAATATAACACAGAGCCAGTTTGGTGTAGTGGTTAAGTGTACGGACTCTAATCTAGGAGAATTGGGTTTGATTCCCCACTCCTCCGCTTGCACCTGGCTGGATGGCCTTGGGCAAGCCGTCGCTCTGATAAGAGCTGTTCTTGAAAAACAGCAGTTTCTGTCAAGAGCTCTCTGAGCCCCGCCTACCTCACAGGGTGTCTGTTGTGGGGAGGGGAAGGGAAAGGAGTTTGTAAGCCGCTCTGAGACACCTTTGGGTAGTGAAGGGCGGGGTATAAATCAAATCTTTTCTTCGCTCTCTCTTCTTCTTCTCCAAGGTTTCAGGAAGAGAGCTTTCTTTCCGATTTTCCTGAAATCCCATTTTTAGAGATGTCAGGGATTAAATCTGGGAATTTTTTTGCATATACCACTGCGTTAGAACTCTGCTAATTTGAAGGGTGATATCAACAGGTAAGAGTGTAGAATAAATGAGAAACATTGCTATATATACATTTTAAAGCTATTTTACCATTTGGCTGAAGTTTGAGCTTTATTTGGGAAAACATATAGCCACTGTGGGTCTAAAAACAATATTAAATCTGGTTTGAATTTGTGCTTTTCTGGGTTTGCTTAATAATTGTATATTGCAGATATATGGAATTACTGAAAACTCTCTAATCCATCCGAAGTACAAAATGAAATCAGAAGAATCGTTTAAGGATTTGAGTATGTGGGTATCCCAAAAACAGCTATCAATGGCATTTTTTAGACTTAGTGGTGGCTGGAGATTCCAAAAAATGAGGGCACCAAAAATCCCTTTGTCCCTGCCAAGCCACATGCTTGTAGTTGCACAGTTCCAGCTGTACCCATGGAGGCTCCTCTGATCAGGCCAGAGAGCAAAATGGAACTTCTATCACCAGTGTCAGTATTCATTGGAGTACCAGATGCAGAAGACAAAGAAGGGAATGTTTCTGCCTTCACAATCAGCCTGTAACCTGAATTTTAAACAACAACAGGTCCAGAAAAGCACTGCCTACTAACTCTACAATACAAAAAAATCTACAATACATAAACTCTACAATACAAGCCATTTTTACCATCGAGGTTTTGCCCAAATTCCAAAGTGTCGCCAGGACATCCCAATGTGATGATGTCATTTCTGGTACGTGCCAGAAGTGATATCACTGGCAACATAGCCTGGGCCTCCCTCCTACTCCTGTTAAAC